GCGTGTTCCTCAGGTCATTCGAAGCAACTTTTTCCTTTACAAAAATTTTCTCCGAGACACCATTAACGAGTTATTAACGAACACAGCTCAGCTGGCGCGTGGCGACCGAGCCAATGAGCGGAACTGGGCTTCGTGCGCTGGTTGACTGGGCCGCCTCGCGTCAGCCGTACTCGATTCTCATTGGTCACTGTTTTTCGTTAATAACTCGTTAACGGTGCCTCGGAGAAAATTTTTGTAAAGGAAGAAGCTGCTTCAAATGATCCGAGGAACCCGCCATTTCCGGATTGCGAGACATTTTTGGGACACCCTGTATACTATGATTACCCCGGTGGTCCAAAAAGATCGTTGTCCGTAGGTGTGAAAAAGCTATGTGTGTAATTGGACGCCGCGTTTCCGCGTCGAGTTAATCCGATCGGTGTGCCTAAACGTACGGCTGCCGTGTGACTAGAACGTTCCCGCCGATAATTTGCTTTGATCCACATCGGCCGTGCAATTATATCGAGTTTTGTGACAGCCGTGATAGAGAGATACACGGGAACGCGGAGGAGAGGAAAGGGTTGGCCGGTTTCGTGTGACACGTTCATGCGAATAATCGGGACGCATCGTGGCCACGTGAATTATGGCGGTGTTGGGCGTCGGCGTTGTCGTGCAAACACAAAAGCGGAATCAAAATGCAATCGATGTTGGCGCAGCTGCCGCTTCCGCGAAAAACTGTTCGCACGCGACTACAGGAAACGCGGACACCCCGGGAAAGAAGAGTGTATGTACGTACATCGGGCTATTAACTACCTTTGATCGATCGATCGTGCCCGGCCGATTCCGAGCGGACCGCGGCGAAAATATAATCGAATTGAAATTGTCGCTCGACACGGGACCGTTTTTGTTTCGGCATAATTTATTGATTGTTCTCTTTCGGCCGGTGGGAAGCACTCGATCAAACGAATCAATCGTCTATCATAATTGCTCGAATACGCTCCGCGAAACAATTAACCCCTTCCCGTATAACGAGTTTCACTCGTGACGGGGATTTCGAACGGTATCCGCTAAATTCGACCGTTGATCGAAGCGGACTGTTCGATATTTCATTTTAAATGTACACAAAGTTGGTTTCTTACTGGAAAATTATCGAGGACAGAGTTTCGCGATCAGGTTGTTTTAACCCCTTAACACGTTCCGTGCCACGTGTACCATCGATGGTACACGCTTGCATGTTTACTTAGTGAACTGAACAAATTGTTTACAAGAAATTTAGAACCGAAGAATCAATTTCCACCGCAAGAATGGGCGTTGATAAGTTTTTGTTACGTTGTTATGTGTACGAGAATTAATAATTGCACGTAATACATCAAGTTTTAGTAAAATATCAAAGTGTGAAGATTCGAGTAAAAAAAGCTCGGCACGGAACGTGTTAACCTACGAGATTCACGTTCGAGAATTTTGGGCCGAAAACGTAAACAAGCTCGCGCAGCCTTCGAGCCGTTCGCACGACTTGTGTAATCACACCATTGCAGATTATTAATTTTGTATTACTGATTTTCGTATAAATAAACTTTTTGTAGTACTTGCATCTACCACAATTATTGCATCAGGTTGTAATTACTTATCAAATATTCTACAAATATTTATGATTTTAAAAGAGCGCCGCCGCTAATATTTATATTTGGCTCGACCGTCGTACTACGGGCTATGCCCGTAATATTCACTTTTGGCCCGATCATCGTACTACGGGCTATGCCCGTAATATTCATTTTTGGCCCGATCATCGTACTATGGGCCTATGCCCGTAGTCGAAGGTTAAGGGATTAATACTGAATCTACCGAGGTCTTAAAGTGACTAATATATTGGGTTGGCAACTAAGCAATTACCGATTTCAGTTATAGATGTCTTTCACTCCCATTTTTATGATATCCGTAAATGTTATATTATAAAGTGTTATTATTATTATTATTATGTTATTTTTTATTATCCGTGAATGTTAGCAACTGGACAAATTGAATGCAGCGGTCAAGGAAAAGCGACCAGAATTGGTCAATCGTAAAGGTGTCATTTTCCAGCAGGATAATGCTAGGCCGCACACGTCTTTGTCCACTCGGCAAAAATTGATGGATATTGCTTGGGAATTGATGTTACACCCACCATATAGCCCTGATCTCGCACCATCGGATTACCACTTATTTCGATCCCTGGACAACTCCCTTCGTGGTAAAACTTTTAATGATGATGACACTGTAAATCTCACTTAACACAGTTTTTGGCCGAAAAGGATCAGACTTTCTACGAGCGTGGAATTTTCAAGTTGTCAGAGAGATGGCAAAAGGTTATCGAACAAAATGGAAAATACATTACAGATTAAACTTCGTTCCAAGTAAAAAAAAATTATTATTTCATTGAACAAATCGGCAATTACTTAGTTGCCAACCCAATATTTTGTCTCGATACAGTAAATTCTCTTCAATTGTCCCTCAGCTTGTAAACAAAAGTGGACAATTTGGTACGAGGAGATACGATTGTTGGAGTCTCGAGGCTCGTTTTTATAGTTATTGACATTCGGCGACGAAACAAACGAATCGCGGGGGTCGAATAATCGTATTCTCTCCCTTCTCAAATTGTCCATTTTGACATACAAGCTGAGCGACAATTGGAGAGAATCTGTTGTTGGTTTTAAAACATTTTTTAACATAAATTAACGACTTTATAATTTTATCTCGACGGCGACTGAGATCTCCTCGATAATCAGCATTAGCATGTATTTTGACCTTTGGAATTTTGAATAAAGGTTAAGATTATGTACCGCAGAAATTAATTTTATCGTTTCCTGGACAGTCTTTACTAGTCAAATATATGTATACTATAGCGAAGCATTTCTCTCCACAGATTATCGAAACGAGAATGAATTGTATATGTTCACTCTTAAGACAAAATTAGCAAGGGAAAAGTATTATTTAATGAAGTAAATAAANTCTTTCACTCCCATTTTTATGATATCCGTAAATGTTATATTATAAAGTGTTATTATTATTATTATTATGTTATTTTTTATTATCCGTGAATGTTAGCAACTGGACAAATTGAATGCAGCGGTCAAGGAAAAGCGACCAGAATTGGTCAATCGTAAAGGTGTCATTTTCCAGCAGGATAATGCTAGGCCGCACACGTCTTTGTCCACTCGGCAAAAATTGATGGATATTGCTTGGGAATTGATGTTACACCCACCATATAGCCCTGATCTCGCACCATCGGATTACCACTTATTTCGATCCCTGGACAACTCCCTTCGTGGTAAAACTTTTAATGATGATGACACTGTAAATCTCACTTAACACAGTTTTTGGCCGAAAAGGATCAGACTTTCTACGAGCGTGGAATTTTCAAGTTGTCAGAGAGATGGCAAAAGGTTATCGAACAAAATGGAAAATACATTACAGATTAAACTTCGTTCCAAGTAAAAAAAAATTATTATTTCATTGAACAAATCGGCAATTACTTAGTTGCCAACCCAATATTTTGTCTCGATACAGTAAATTCTCTTCAATTGTCCCTCAGCTTGTAAACAAAAGTGGACAATTTGGTACGAGGAGATACGATTGTTGGAGTCTCGAGGCTCGTTTTTATAGTTATTGACATTCGGCGACGAAACAAACGAATCGCGGGGGTCGAATAATCGTATTCTCTCCCTTCTCAAATTGTCCATTTTGACATACAAGCTGAGCGACAATTGGAGAGAATCTGTTGTTGGTTTTAAAACATTTTTTAACATAAATTAACGACTTTATAATTTTATCTCGACGGCGACTGAGATCTCCTCGATAATCAGCATTAGCATGTATTTTGACCTTTGGAATTTTGAATAAAGGTTAAGATTATGTACCGCAGAAATTAATTTTATCGTTTCCTGGACAGTCTTTACTAGTCAAATATATGTATACTATAGCGAAGCATTTCTCTCCACAGATTATCGAAACGAGAATGAATTGTATATGTTCACTCTTAAGACAAAATTAGCAAGGGAAAAGTATTATTTAATGAAGTAAATAAAGGCAGGAAGCTCTGCAGAAAGACGGTACGTGAAATTTAGTAATTTATGAACTGAATCATTATCCGATGATCTATGTATCCTTCTCTGTTATTACTTCAGTGTTCTTTCATATTCTGAACAATCTGAGTCAAGTATTGCTATGTTTAAACTTAAACGCCAGTTTTTTTTTATATAGGAGGTATAATTCACATCAAGAAATTTCTTTAATTCCCGTTGATTATTTCGTTTCACTCGATGAAGTAATATCTTAGGAAGTTGTATAATTCGCTACCAAATTCTAAATTGTTTTAAAAAATCCAAAGAGATAGGAGAATAAAGTAGAAAATATGTATATAAGAGAATTCTATTATAATATTTTTCGTTACGAACGTGATCCGATTTTAGAAATTCCGTACAGCAGAAAACACTGAATTCTCGTAGGAATAAAAGCTAAACAAATAAAACTTTTTCTATACAAAATTTTTGGCAACTACGAACTTGTTATCAACACTATGAAATCCTGTGGTAGGATTTATTACGGTACGGTTTATCAATACAAATGGCGAGTAATTACAATTTGGATTTACGGTGTTGTTATTAGAATTCGTCGTTAACACATTGCGGACGGGGCTCTGCGCGTTCAACACGCCCTCAAAGACCGCACATTTTCGAACGCTCCAAAAACATGCTTGGCAAGTAACAGGAAGCGGATACGCACATTTCTAATTTGCATTTAGTATTCTTAAATAATACTATATATACATAGTTTATATATCTGTTTATTATATAAGATTTTTTACATTTTAACTATTATTTATTATACAAATTTGAATATTGATTTAGAGTGGCTATAATGACTGATCATTTCTACATGCTTGGAACGATTCATTTGTTTCGCTAAAATTACTTAGGAATGCGGGAGGCTTCGTTACCATGGTTACGTAACAGAAATATTTGCGGCTGGTTGCTTGTTGCCGATTAAATAAAAAAAACATGAAAACGAGACATCTCGTGACCCGTCCGCAACGTTCAATTTGCTAAAAACGAGATATCTCGTGAGCCGTCCGCAATGTGTTAATATACGAAGTGTCGCGTAGCGTGTCCCGCGTGGTACGCATGCTTCAAGTATAAACTTTCAATTTATACAGCGTGCTGATTAACCCAACTGACGTAAGAAGCGACGCGCGTGTAAACTGTCGGATATTGGGAAAGGGCGCACGACATTGACCAAGACACGATACCAACGATCTTGCCGTCTACTACCAGTGGGCCGCCAGAGTCACCCTAAAAGGAAACGAAAATTGTCAGCCGAAATAGAATAATAAATTACTGAAATAATTGTTACATAAACATTAGTTGCTCACGTTGCATGCTCCCCTCGTCGTCGATGGATCGTTAGCACAGATATGAGTTTCATAAACGCTGCCGATATTTTTGTATGCATTCTTGCAAACAGTTTGATCGGTTATCTGGAGTTTCGCCTTCTGGAGGATATTCGGGATTGGTCCGCCAACCTTTGGAATAAAGAGACCATGGCTCGATATCAAATTGATGTGCACTTCTCTATTGTCAGGTGTAGACGCTAATTCGGTTGCTTTGCAAAATTAATTTACTGCTCGGACGCGGAAGAGTCGTTAACATTGCCGGAAAGTTATTGTTTAGAATTGCAATGTATTTTTGTGAAATGTCAGAACGCGTTGGACTCCGATAGCTAATTCGGTTGCTTTGCAAAATTAATTTACTGCTCCGACGCGGAAGAGTCGTTAAAATTGCCGGAAAGTTATTGTCTAGAATTGCAATGTGTTTTTGTGAAATACCAGAACGTTGGACTCCGATAGCTAATCGGTTGCTTTGCAAAATTAATTTACTGCTCCGACGCGGAAGAGTCGTTAAAATTGCCGGAAAGTTATTGTCTAGAATTGCAATGTGTTTTTGTGAAATACCAGAACGTTGGACTCCGATAGCTAATCGGTTGCTTTGCAAAATTAATTTACTGCTCCGACGCGGAAGAGTCGTTAAAATTGCCGGAAAGTTATTGTCTAGAATTGCAATGTATTTTTGTGAGATGTCAGAACGCGTTGGACTCTGATAGCTACAGCGATGTGAATAGGTTAAGGCAGTAAGGAAACAATTAGGTCGCGGTGAACTGAATGACCGTGGTTGGGTCGAACAAATGAAAACGCTTTTAGGTCAAAAAGACTGAGGCTACCAGTGGGTCAAGTGACTTGTGTGAAATCTGACACTGGAAAAATTACGTCACCGAGGGTATTAACACACAAAGACGATTCTATTCTATGCAGTTTTAAGCTTACAGGTACTTGTAAAGTATTCTTTGTTGAGTACGAAAGACAGTAAAGAGGTTTGTCGTGTAATTATATTAATGCTGCCTGGCTAAATATTAAAATACCATGTTAACAATGTTTCCGCATTAAATGTCCGACTAATTGCATCGCGAGAAGTTCTCGTTTGATTTTTCAAAGTGATACTTACGCTGGTACGACCCCATCCTGACACTATGGCTGGCGACTTAGCAGCAACTGCTTCGTTTTCTTTCGGCAGGCGAACGGCGGCGATGTTTTTGTCCAACTTGAGTGGTGTTTTTAACTGCAGAATTCGAAAAATTTCCTTAGAAACACGAACAATGCCTTCTCATCTCTGTGTCAAGCTTTTATCGCGAACATCGTTGATCGGTAAAGCACGATTACCGAAAAGGCCCGTAGAGAATTTTATTTACGTCTCGGTGTAAATTTAAGCGGGAATATTAAAAGAATAAAGCGTATTTGCATATTGTTTTCAACAGATCACAATACTAGTTTTCTCTCGTTTCTTTCCCTTTCGGGAAACTTGTTGCGTTTTAGAAGTTTCATCTTCAAGATTGCATAGCAAAAGTGAATGAGAAAAGAAAGTTTAAAGATTGATAATAAAAAGATGACTACAATTTCTATTGCCATTTGCGCAGCGTCGCCGTATTATCGATGCTACGATAAACGTTGTTCACTCGTAAGGAATACGTACCTTGAGCAGAGCAATGTCATTTCGCCAGGAGTCCCTAGGGTTGTAGCCTTCGTGTATAATGATCTTGTCGACCGCGTGCACGTTCTGCTGATCCTGCCAGTTTATCGTGCCAACGACGACTTTCACTGCAGTTGCTATTTGTCTGTTAACAATAATTATTTGACTTTGTAACACCGCCTAGTATGACTGTAATTATCGGAGATTCAGCTGAGTAGGAAACTGCGGTACTTACCCTTCTACGCAATGGGCTGCCGTGAGAACGTAGTTCGTATTAAGCACTGATCCGCCGCAGAAGTGACTGTTGCTTTTTTGGAGAGACACCTAATCCGCATCAAGATACATTTCTTTGTAAGTGAACAATAGGATTTCATGCATTCGTGTCAAAAATATGTCGGCGAAACAGAAAATGTGTCAGCGAAATCTAAGATGATAGAAATGTCGGAAGAATATCAGAATTTTACTTTATTGCACATTTTTGCACACATTTGACATCCATGCGGTTCTTGTACGTTGCAAAAATTTTTAGTTCGAAGCTGTGGTTAAATTGTTTAAAATTCCCGTAACAAAAAATGCCAGGACATGTCTAAATCGTTAGAATCGTGGATCGAGTTTGAATGTGATCTTCGAGTATGATTATTTTTGCGTTTTATTTTAACGGAGCATATTTCGCGGTATTACACATTTTATTTCTGCATAAAATCGTTTGGACTCACCTGGTACGGAATTTCGCCCAGCTTCGCGTCTTCGCCATTTACGATTCGGGGTTCTAGTCCGGGCAGCGCTGCACCTGCAATTGTGAGATGCGATTTATGCAAATATAAAATACAAAATGTAGGTTCATGCAAATGCGGGTTAAACATTGCATACATAAAGATTCCATTGTTTTTAAATTTCATAATAATGGTATTGTTGCCGATTATTTTATTATGGCAGTGAGGATTTCCCTAAGTTTCTATTTAAATAATTTATTATTTAAATTATGTAAATAGATAACATGGTATTACGTTTTCAAGAAATAATTCAAGTACGTGTAGTTCTAACGGTTTTGTAAAATAAAAGAGTACGAACGATATAAATTTTCTTACCATTAGCCACGGCCAACACCGCAAGAAGTGAGAACAAAGCTGCAGGCATTTTGCTTGTACCAGTGCCAGAAATCATGAAACTCAGATTGGTAGTACAGTGAATCAAACGTCGCCTTTATATACCGATCGATTACAATCTATTGAAGATATCATACCGCGAAGATTAGCCGTTTCTTTTAGTATAAATTAACGTCCTCACAAATTTATCTAGTCGATGAGCGAGATCTCTTCGATAAGCAACACACACACACACACACATCGGTGTTTTATATTTTATAAAATTGGAAATAGCTTAAGATTGAATTTCGTTGAATTCTATTGGATTTTCCTCTGTACAGTTATGAGAAATACGTCATGCACTCATTGAAGCATACGATGAGGCATTTCGTCACAGCTTGACAAGAATACAATATTCTCACTTAATTGAAACCTTGCTATCTCTTATCGTGTTCTTCTTGTAGACGGATCCATGTACTTCGTTCGCGAAGATAAAGCAAAGGAATTAAATTGAATAAATACGGAAAACGTGCAGAGAGACAGCACTTGAAATTTCCTAATTTATAAAGTGAATCATTATCTGATGATTTCGATAGCCGTCTATGCTGTTCCTTTAGTGTTCTTTCATTTTTTTTTACCACGTATCTGTAATTGTTGAAATGGCCGCAGTTTGAAGAAAAAATAGCTGCTTCTATCCCGAGAAATCAACTTTTAATGCTTGTAAAAAATTAAATACTTGACATATATTCTACGCAGAATATCTCCATAAAATTTAAAGTAAATTGGATGTGGAGTTATGGCGATTTCGTGACAATCAGGTTGCAAAATGTAGTTTCGAGGGGAAGTAGAATGTTTTAAGACAACTTTCCTCTCCGATAAAGTAAAGTTTTTTTTAAAATCCTACCTTCAGTCGTTCAACGTTCGAATTTCGAAATATCGCTTTATCATAACATTCTACGCACTTGAAACTGTAAGAGAAAAAAAGAGTCGATTCTTTTAAACCGTTCGGGTAGGGTAGTGTCCACCTTTGCATCATATCTTTTATATCGTATAAAGGAGTTTCAAGAAGTACACTCACCTCCAAAAGTATTAGAATACTCGCAGAAAATTAAATAAAAATTTGAGAAACCGATAGGAAATTGTTGTAATTTCTTCAATTTAATTAATTTTCTGCGAATTTCTTTGCAACATGGATGAAACTAAATATATATATACAGGGTGTTCCACAATTATTTTAACAGCCGAAAATGAGGGGTAGCAGAGGTCATTTGAAGTAACTTTTTCCTTTGCGAAAATGTAATCTGCGGCTTTGTTTACGAATTATTAACGGAAAACACTGACCAATCGGAGGTGACGGCACGAAGTTCGAGAGCCCGCAGCACGAGCCTTTGACAGATGGTTGGGACGGACTCGAGCCGCGTACGAAGTATTGAAGAAATAACGAAGCGAGAACTTTCCGGTTTCTTTTTTACTACGTAACAGTGATATTTTTAAGAAAAACGCGGTTCACCTTTACTTTAGAACGTCTGAAGAATATTTACTAATTTTTCGGACCCGAAATAGTAAGTAATTTAACCGTGACGGCCGTTTTAATTTTCTAGTGTGCATGGCACCTTGTGTGTAAAATATGAAGTTTTTAAGCAAGGTGTACAATGAAGATTAACAAAGTACGCAAATGATATTTTAATTTAAATAATTTCGTGTCCGTACACAGTTCAACGAATTATTCGCAAAGCTATTTGCTATATCTTGAAATAACCTTGACATAACCTTAATATATGTTGACCTTGACATGACCTTGACATAACTTTGACATAACCTTGACAACACCTTGAGATAACCTTGAGATAACCTTGACATGACCTTGACATAACCTTGAGATGACCTTGAGATAACCTTGAGATAATCTTGAGACAATCTTGAGATAACCTTGAGACTACCTTGAGACAACCTTGAGACAACCTTGTGATAACCTTGAGATAACCTTGAGATAACCTTGAGATAACCTTGAGATAACCTTGAGACAATACGCTAAGTGGGTGCCCCATTGGATCCCTCCATCGGTGTTGATTATCCATAGCCTCGGCCCTGTAGGACAGAGAGAAGCGAGCAGCGAAGCATATGGCGGCAAAATATCGTGTACATGTTGCCGACGAACATTTTCTCGACCTACTCAAAATGTACATCGTTCTGACACTTCTATCAGGTAGTTTCTTCTTCAGAAATGTCTACAGAATCTGATCCTGGGTAGAGTTTTCGTGCTGAACAAAGAACTTTTCGTAAAAATACAAAAATATTGCGCAGAAACTGCTCACATTGACACTTTTTTAAACTTTGACATCAATTCATTGCTATTTAGGACCAAAAACAATTAATAAATTGCATGCCACTATATTCGGGAAACTCTCCTCTATCTTTTAACACCAATTAGAACTTTCTAACGCTTTTATTTTTCATGCAATAGCTCATTTTTGTCGAAAATTTTGGATTTTTACAAAAGTTCGTTTATTTAAAAAACTGAGGGTGATGGAGCAATTCGGTTTTCGGATTCTTGTTCAGGGAGTGAAGTTTTACAAGAATTTCATAGTGGCTATAGGAACCCAGGAAAAAAGTTTGATTTTGTCGGACAGTGTAACTCGTAAAGCTGCAGATTGCATTTTCGCAAAGGAAAAAGTTACTTCAAATAACCTCAGGTACCCCTCATTTTCGGCTGTTAAAATAATTGTGGAACACCCTGTATATATATTTAGTTTCATCCATGTTGTAGTATGTTCCACATATTTTGGAAAAATTTCGGAAATGAACTTAGCATAGGGTTTCATTGAACAAAATTCAATAAATGGGTAAACTATTTGCATAAGTGATAAACACTTCCATCTTAATATGTACTTTAGACAATACGATGCCTTGAACTTAATATTAAACATAAAACATTGTCTAAACTGAATGAGAAATTACGATTTATTCTAAATCAGCGGGTGTCCTAATATTTTTGGGCATATATATTTTGGATATTTGGATATTTTTGTACATATCATGGTAATATCATTGTAACGATTGTTCCAAATTTTGACCATGGTAGTTTTCTCATAACATCAATTTATTAACCATGTGATTGAGTATGCTTGGAAAAATCGTGTTAAAAATTGTAATCACTCAACGAAAATCAATTTGTTATGAAACGTAGATATACATAAGCTCCCATCAGACTGATATCTTCTTTATATTTCCCTCAAGAAATATCTTTCATTTCTGTACATTATTTTCCTTTCATGTTTTCTTTTCAAATTGTTTTAAAAACTTTAAAGACAATTAAACTAAACAGTAATATTTTACGTTTCCATCGTGACATATCTTCAGAGATTACATTTTCGTAGAAATTCTTTAGTCCTCAGTCTTTAGAAATTACACTTCGTAAAGAATTTTATTAATCATAACAAACAAACTTGAATTCTCGTAGCAATACAAATTAAAAAAAACTAGTAAGACATGAATTACTATCTATATAACAATTTTTGTCGACTACCAAAAGTCGACACTGTTTGGTCAAGTCAATCACTTTTCCACGAACTTAGTTTTCACTAATTTAATTTCTTAAGTTTCCATAAATAAATCATTTTTTTTTATCCACGCTATGACATCTTGTGGTAGAAAATTCTGGGAGAATACAGCTCGTAACGAAGAAAATGTTTTATTAATATACGCGACGAATATTTACATTTTAAATTAACAATACTGTTATCAAAATTGATCATTGATATAACAAGATTCGTTTAGTATGTTCCATGTTGTCTGTTCGTCCTCAAGTTTGATCCTTCGATTTAGACAGCATTCTTCTTGATCCAATCAAGATGCGAGGCTACGCGGGTGTAAACGGTGGGGTAGTCGGTCAAAGCGCATCCCATAGCCCACGAAACTAGTCCCACGAGTTTTCCTTTCACAGTCAATGGGCCGCCAGAGTCACCCTGAAACAATAAACAATTTCATTTTAAAGTAGTGGATTGAACGTCAACTGAACAAATTAACAATTACATTTTGTACTTTCCCTTGTCAGAAGTATCGGCTTGAAAAATTAACGATTACATTCTAAATTTTCTCGTGTTAGAAACGCCAGCTTGAACCATTATCAACAATTACATTCTAAATTTTCAATGTGCCAGAGAATAATCTACAGGTTCACCGGCGACGCGAATAAACAGACTGCAAATTTCGTGCGCTCGCGAGAGAAAGATCTGAAGAGAACTCACGTTGCAGGATCCCTTCTGGACACTTGGATCGTACGCACAAATGTGTGAGTTGTAGACGTTGTAGCCCTGCTTGTGGTACATGAGCTTGCAGTACTCTTGGCTGGCAATCAGAATGTTGACACGCTGCAGGAAAATGGTCGTAGGCCCGCCTTGCTGCAATTACGGGAAACGTTCTCAATAAGTAACGCAAACAGCGATACAAAAGCCAGATTTCGGAACTAGTCTAGAATTCTAGGAACGCGTTTGTCATAGTAAATGCTAACGAATATACGCGCTATAATCTCATGATAAATACGAGAAGCTTCAACGAGACGATATTCTTTGTCGAGAACCAACGGATCGGGAAAGATTGTATTATTTACCCTGAGTCTACCCCATCCGGAAACTGTGGCCACTTCGTTAGGGTTGACGACGTCGTTTGCGGACGGAAGAGGCACGAAGGCGATCAGCTTCGACTCTTCGAACGGTTTCTCGACCTGCAACAGTGACAACGGAAATATGAACGATTACATAAATACAGTTTACAAGCTCGTCTGTTTAATCTGAAAAATTCACAGCTGATGATTATACATAATAACATATTATAATATGTTAATAATATATTATATTATACATAATTATTATTATAATATTATTATATTATAATAATATGTTATGTTATAAAATATGTTATTACATATTATAATAAATATATTATAATAAATATATTATAATATGTAATAACATATTTTCAATATGTCCAATCACGCTCGACCACGCAATCTCCTGAACAAAGTCTACCAAATTCTAGCAAAATGAATGGAAATAATTTTGAACATTCATTGCAATAAATTTTTCATTGTTGATCTCACTGTTGTAGTTATTTCAGCATTCGCGTTCATTTCCAAATGTTTCAAATTTAATTTATTCGTACTCAAGGTCACTCGACGGTCATGGTATTGCAGGTCACCTAGATTCGTTTCGACCTTGGCTATCATGATATAATGATAGAAATATGTAGTCCCATTAAAAAAAAAAAAACACTAATGACATTGAAATCTCTAAAAACGTGACCTTTAAGAAAGAAACTATTTCCACCGGGATACGTGTCCCTACGAACCATACGATCTGTTCCACTAGCACGTTTGATCATCGTTAACACGTTGAATGCCACGGGGGTCACCGGTAACCGGCACTTAATTTGGCGGTGACGCCATAGGGGCCACCGGTGATTGGCGCGCCCAATTGATAGAAATATATATAATAATTTAAAACAAATATCAATATCTAAAATTTTGTATTATTACCATCGTCGATTCGAACAGTTACCCCTGTCGCAATTGACATGTCAAACATGGTTATACACTGTAACTTATCTATTGCAGATAATATTTCAACATTATATGTATCGCATAAAAGAGATTCATCGTGGCGCCACGAACAATTTCTGTAAAACCGGCGTGGCATTCAACGTGTTAACGATAACGGAGATATTGCTTCGTAACAGCTTTAGCTTTATACAAATCGGTGACGAATAAATTAGTTGACGAGCGTCAGAGGTATCCGCCATATGAGCCGTTTATTTTGAAAGTGGCATAAGTCACTTTACCGTAATGAAAAATGGTGATTTTTTAATGTTTATACGAAATTATTTATACTGAAAAAAATATCAGTATCCTGAGATAATAAATACAAGTAAATCTTCTCGGAAGTTAGCATCCATGTCTTTAAACGTGTTAAAACGCAAACCCTTAAATATGTCGACTTAAAAACAAAGTGACTTATGCCACTTTCAAAAGAAACGGCTCATATATTCAATTACCTTGAGCAGAGCGATGTCGTTCTTCCACGAGTCTTTGGAGTTGTACCTCTCGTGCATGATGATCTTGACAACGTTGCGCTCCACGTTCGGCTTCGACAGATCGATCGTTCCGGCAACAACTTTGATAGCCTCCGGTTGAGTTCTGTGCAAGGAAACAGTTGCAGGGAGATCAGTTGAACCCGTTCCCGTTTTACGGCGGCGGCGAGATCTTTGATCGAGCGACATATATTTACCCATCGACGCAGTGAGACGCGGTGATAACGTAATAATTGTTGAGAACTGATCCGCCGCAGAAGTGGAACGAGCTAGCCATCTTTTGGAGGGATACCTGGGAACAACGGAAGCCATTTTTATTACATAGTTTCGCATAATTTCATTAAACCCGATGGGACAGGAATCTGGAGTCTCGGGAACCGTGATATTGGATTTCCTTGTCGCGTGGGAGAATTCTTTTGTTATTGAAATACTGCTTCAATAGCGTAAAAACGGAACTATTCGTTATCCGCCTATCGTGCTATATTCTGAATTTTTTCTCAATTTTTCTGTTCGCGCGAACCCGAAGGCACGAGTTCAGGCACGAGTCTCAGACTTTGCGAACGAAAGACGCGTCAAAGATGACGGCCGCGGTCACGTATTGCGGATATTTATGCGAAATAAAGTGTTTCTACGTCGAATATATTTGTCTATTTAATAATCCCAATATACATATCGAAGCAAATACGAGAGGATTTTTACAATATTTCCTAGACTCGACAGGATTCACAGGAACGCCCGCTCGTGTTGCCCATGAATGCATAAAATCCGTAATCTACATATTACATGTTCTTGCATTAGATTCCTTTACCGGTAAAATAATTGTATTTTTCTTCTAATGAAAAACTCTGGCGCAAGATTTGCATTATGTATTACATATTGCGAGACAGAGGAATGGAAGACGGACTCGAGGTGGCGGTTGCAGGACAGGATTTAGTCGCATATTGCATTCTTTTATGCGTGATATTCTTGCATTAGATTCTTTTACCGGTAAAACAATTGTATTTTTCTTCTAACGAAAAACTCTGGCGCAAGATTTGCATTATGTATTACATATTGCGAGACAGAGGAATGGAAGACGGACTCGAGGTGGCGGTTGCAGGACAGGATTTAGTCGCATATTGCATTCTTTTATGCGTGATATTCTTGCATTAGATTCTTTTACCGGTAAAACAATTGTATTTTTCTTCTAACGAAAAACTCTAGCGCAAGATTTGCATTATGTATTACATATCTGTCTCTTATACACATCTAGATGTGTATAAGAGACAGATATGTAATACATAATGCAAATCTTGCGCTAGAGTTTTTCGTTAGAAGAAAAATACAATTGTTTTACCGGTAAAAGAATCTAATGCAAGAATATCACGCATAAAAGAATGCAATATGCGACTAAATCCTGTCCCTGTCTCTTATACACATCTAGATGTGTATAAGAGACAGATATGTAATACATAATGCAAATCTTGCGCTAGAGTTTTTCGTTAGAAGAAAAATACAATTGTTTTACCGGTAAAAGAATCTAATGCAAGAATATCACGCATAAAAGAATGCAATATGCGACTAAATCCTGTCCCTGTCTCTTATACACATCTAGATGTGTATAAGAGACAGATATGTAATACATAATGCAAATCTTGCGCTAGAGTTTTTCGTTAGAAGAAAAATACAATTGTTTTACCGGTAAAAGAATCTAATGCAAGAATATCACGCATAAAAGAATGCAATATGCGACTAAATCCTGTCCCTGTCTCTTATACACATCTAGATGTGTATAAGAGACAGATATGTAATACATAATGCAAATCTTGCGCTAGAGTTTTTCGTTAGAAGAAAAATACAATTGTTTTACCGGTAAAAGAATCTAATGCAAGAATATCACGCATAAAAGAATGCAATATGCGACTAAATCCTGTCCCTGTCTCTTATACACATCTAGATGTGTATAAGAGACAGATATGTAATACATAATGCAAATCTTGCGCTAGAGTTTTTCGTTAGAAGAAAAATACAATTGTTTTACCGGTAAAAGAATCTAATGCAAGAATATCACGCATAAAAGAATGCAATATGCGACTAAATCCTGTCCCTGTCTCTTATACACATCTAGATGTGTATAAGAGACAGGGACAGGATTTAGTCGCATATTGCATTCTTTTATGCGTGATATTCTTGCATTAGATTCCTTTACCGGTAAAACAATTGTATTTTTCTTCTAATGAAAAACTCTGGCGCAAGATTTGCATTATGTATTACATATTGCGAGACAGAGGAATGGAAGACGGACTCGAGGTGGCGGTTGCAGGACAGGATCTAGTCGCATATTGCATTCTTTTATGCGCGATATTCTTGCATTAGATTCCTTTACCGGTAAAACAATTGTATTTTTCTTCTAACGAAAAACTCTAGCGCAAGATTTGCATTATGTATTACATATTGCGAGACAGAGGAATGGAAGACGGACTCGAGGTGGCGGTTGCAGGACAGGATCTAGTCGCATATTGCATTCTTTTATGCGCGATATTCTTGCATTAGATTCCTTTACCGGTAAAACAATTGTATTTTTCTTCTAACGAAAAACTCTAGCGCAAGATTTGCATTATGTATTACATATTGCGAGACAGAGGAATGGAAGACGGACTCGAGGTGGCGGTTGCAGGACAGGATCTAGTCGCATATTGCATTCTTTTATGCGCGATATTCTTGCATTAGATTTCTTTAGTGGCACGATAACTCTATTTTTCTCTTGATGAGAAATTCTGTCGCGCAGGGTCTCCACTATATACCACATTTTCCGAGAGGAACGAAGGACAGATTAAAGATGGCGGCCGTAGAACACAGACGCGGCTGATTCTATTTCCGCGCACGCTACATTCCCGAATTCTCGTTACACCGTGTGGAACTCTCGTTCGGCGCTTCTATCTTATCGGACAACGGTGTATTATAACAAGGAAATGCCGGTGCTCACCTGATACGGAATTTCGCCTTCCCTCGCGTCCTCGCCGTTCACGATCCTTGGATCGAACCACGGTAGTATCGCGGCTGCGCAAACAATAAGGTACACGATAATTAGCAGCTGCCGGCTGTGAATGAGCCGCAGCTCATTAAGCATCGAGCGCTGATTACTCTACTTATTAATGTCATTTCACGCGACGCTTATCTAATCAATATCCGCGGAGGTTGCTTGTGAATCAAACACTCCGCCGGGCATAACAGGAAATGCACACGCGGGCCGTACATTTGATCAGATTATTCTTGTTTAATAACATCGAATTCGATTCGGACGAAATCGTGTTTTCGGTCTCTCCCGGAACACCGTGATTGGACTTCGACTGATTAATTTCCATTGTCGCTTCTTTTAATCTTATTCGATCGAAGTGTTCGGGTTCCAACAGTTGCAATACGATTTATAATAATAACGGTGAAATTGAGATAAAGAATAGCGGACATCAGGGGTATGTCACTCTTTTTTCTGCTAGCACTTTCCTTCCGTTAATGGCAAACCTCTAACGGGCTCTAAATAATTTTTATTGTAACCAATAGTTAGTTTAACAAATTTATTCTATTATTTTCTGTGAAAGAATCTTTACGATTTCGGCAACATTGAGACTAAATCGGTGAAACTATTTCTCGTTAAGTTTAGTCTTGTTTTCCATTGTAACGTATAGGTAGATTAACAAATTTATTCTATTATTTACTTCGAAAGAATTTTTATGATTTCTGCAACTCTATTGTTGGGATTATGGAATGAAAATGAATATGATTCTAATTCTTTTCTTAAAAAGACTTTATTTTATTCCTTTATTAACCCGAGAAAGATAACCTACGTCGCAGAGGCGCCTGCGAAGACTGTTGATTTTTGTTAATTTTTCATAGAGGTCTAGTGATTTAAGTTTAAAATTACTTAAAATATAAAAACATATAATATAAATGCATTTTATTTTTACAATAATGCCAAACCTTTAAAATGACTAGATTAACTTAAATAAATATCC